TGACGCAAGGGGTCGCAGAGGCTCAGAGCACCCGGCCCAGGGACCCCAATCCCCTCTCGAGAGCTCCCATCGGCCCAGCAGCCCGGTGGGTAACGGGGCTCCTCAGCACACTGTCAGTAATGCTGGGCTGCAGCTCCACACTTCAGGTCGGGCTCCTCTCCTCCAGCGTGCAGCCTGTGCTCACGCCCTCCAGAGACCTGCTGGGGCCGGGGGGATGGCTGAGCAGCATTTCCTCTTGGCCCAACCACCTCTGCCTTTCCTGCCCCAGCAGTGGCGGAAGCAGAGCCCCAAGAGTGTCACCGTGCCTGGTTCTGGGAACCTCCTGGTCCCTCTGCACCCCCTCACCCAGCCTTGGCCTGCCTGCTGCTGAGAACCCCCCACCAGTGCTGAGGCTGCAGCACAGCCCTCCGGCTGCCCCTGCCCTGTGCCCCCAGAGCAGCTCTGCGGCCCTCCCCGGGGCTGTGGGCAGCTGGTGTGACACCTTCTTCCAAGGCACTTTGGACAGTGGGTGGCCTACAAGTGCAGTCATCCAGGCTGCTCTGTGATGGTACCCCAGAGTCCCCTGCTCTCCCTCAGGAGGAGTTTGCAAAACCTTGAGTTGTGCTCAAACTGATTCCAGTTTCAAGTGGTGGGCAGGGCTGCCTTGCAGGACAGCTGGCTGCACAGCTGGTGATCCCAGGATCTTCCCACAAGGACCTGAGTGTTTGCTGAGTGTGATTTACCTTAAGCCATTTTTTGTCCTTGTTTGCTTGTCCCTGCAGTCCACTGTCAAGCCAGTGTATCTGTGCAGCAAATGCCCTGCTGACCAGGCCAAGAGGCACTGGTATGGTACTGGAAATGACTTTATGCTCGTTTGGTGCAGACAGTGTTGCACCTTGGTCATGGAAGTGGCTTGTGGGTCTGAGCCAGGGACACACACATGTTGTTGGCTGTGATTTCTGGTCATCTGCATGGAAAGTGTGATTTTGTGTTGTGTGCAGCTGCAAGAGTAAGCAGGGTCCAGTACCTTGGGAACTGGGGCCTGAGATAATTTAGAGTTCAGAACATAATTTATTTTTCATTTGAAGATGAGGAGATGTGCAGTCACACAGAGCCCTGAAGGGCTCTGGCAGATTATCTGGCCCTTGGCCTCCTGATCCCAGGCTGGAAGCCTGCTGTTAGGTGCTTTAGCTGCTGTCACCTTTAAGGACACTTAAGTTTTGGTACATTCTGTGCAGGAGCCAAACAAGAGGGCCTGATGGCCTTTTCTGGGCATTGTCTGTTGTGAAGAAGCTCATGTGGCTGGGATCTAAACTGAAACTGCAGCTTGCCTTCCGCCAGCTCTGTTGCAACCCCATCCCACGTGACCCTGAAAAGCAGCTTCCAGCTCCATCCCCGTGCAGAGCCTGCTGGAGCAGCTCCTGCAGGGCATCCATGGGCCTTTCAGTGGTGGGCAACTTCCCTGGAGCAGGATCTTCAATATTGAGTGGCAGCACCATGGGTGCATCCCCTGTAGCCCCTTGGAGCCCTACTGCAGGGACACGGTCACTGGCAGAGTGTGTGTGCTGCACTTTCAGTTCTGCACACACCAAAATAGAAGCATTTGCTTCCTTCTGTGGGTCCGCACCGCTGCTGGCACCGCCCTCCCGCCCCTGCCGAGGCAGGACAGACCCTCGCCTTACCGACTGGTCCCACCAGCTCCCCACCTGCTCATACTGCTGGGACAGCTGCCTGGGCCCCTGCCACGCTTTGGGCTCCAGTGTAGTCTTTTCTGGAGCATCCGTGAGGACACAGAGCTGTTCCTTCAAGCACCAGGCACCTGTGCAGCCACACAGCAGGCAGAGCAGCAGTGGAGGGGGCACATGGGACCCCCCAGTGTTGCCCTACAGGAGGACCTGTTCCAGTGTGGGCTTGGGCTTCTGGTCAGGGTCTGGAGGGTCTGGGCTGCTGGGAGAAACTGTTTTTTTGTGCACCCTGTCCAACGCACAGCCTGCCTGGGGTCATGCCAGGAGCTCCAGGGAAACCCCTCCTGCGCTGCCTGGCCCTGTTCATCTCTGTTCGTGTCGGCTTGAGTGGGGGGCTCTGGGGTCTGTCACCAGCTCTGGGCAGGGAAGGGCTTGGTGTGGCTGTGGGACAGCCAAGTGTGGAGCGGGGTGGTGGTCCCCTCGGGGAGGATGGTGGAGCCTAGGTGATGTAGGGCTCGGGGGGCAGTGGCTGCAAGGAGATCCAGGATTTGATGTGGGAAGAGGGGGCTGGGGTTGATCTGCTCTCCCTTGTCAGGGAAATGGCCCC